TGTTTCTGAGTTGACAGGGCTCTCTACAAATGGGCATTGGAATGAAGAGTATTCCTAACAATCTAAATCCCATCTTCTTTGAGGACATCTCTCTCTGAGACATCACTTGTGGGGTGATCCCAAGCAAAGCCAGTGTCACCTTCTCTTCCTATGAGGGAGACTCGGATCTTATTCCAAAGTTGTTCACTTCTCAGGGTGTCACAGGACCACCTTTTGTCTTATAGTCAGCGGAAGAAAATACCAAGTCAGTGGTTTACCTGAGGGAAACTTACCATTCAAATGTTTGGGCAAATGGGTAAAGACTCAGATATCAAAAAACAAATAAGCTTTGCCTATTAATAACTGCAAGTTCCCGTAACATCTCTCCCAAGGGGTAAGATAAGAAGATACTGTAAATAAAAGGACAAATGGACTCCTCATAGGCTATTTTGTGAAAAAGTTTCAAAAGAATATCCATATCTGCTTAAAAATTCAATCTTAGCTTTATAATACCAACTGTTTCAAAAGCAGGGAAGATGAAAATTTGAGAGTAGTTGGTATGTGTGTGTGTGAAATGGACAAAAAGAAACACAGGAAGAAATCTTATAAATTTCTAAAATATCACAGTTATAATAACCCCGCTGTACACCTTAGTTTGATCAAGTTGTCCTTAATTGAAATCATTGTTTAAAATAGTAGTGGGAGTACCTAGGTAAAGAATTCTTATAGAAAATCATTTTGTAAAGGGGGCAAGAATAATCAATGCCCAGTTTGTAAGTTTTAGAAACAATTTACATTGTATAGGTTACCTCAAGTAGGGGGTTCTTTTATCCAATATTCTCTTATCAAAAATTTCAAACACACACAAAAAAATGGAAGGAACTTTACAGTGAATACCTGTATACCTAGCACTTACATTCTACTATTAATATTGCACTATCGACATGCTTTTCACATATCTATCTATCCTGTCCATTTTATCAATCCACCAATGTCACTGCATCTTATTTTTGATGCACGCATTTCCAAATTAGTTTGCAGACATCAGTACACTGATAAATCTTTCTTTTAAAAACTCACTGAATATTTTTCAAAATATTTGATATTTAAATATTTTCTTGATCATCATCTTAAGATATATCTTAAGAATGTCATAAGTATTAACCTAGAAGCTTTTCCTACAAATAAGAAAAGTCAAAAGGTTGTTTTACTAATGGCCAAAATGTTACCTTGAGCCATCTAAGAACTGAGTGGTGCCCAAACTGTGGGTGATGGAGGCAATGGGAAGCTCGCTGTTAGGACAGTGGGAACGTGGAAGGAGAAAGGCAGTGATTGTTTTAACAGGGCAGCTAGGTGTTTAACACGGGCCTCTGTGGGAAGGGATTAGCAACTTTCACAGCTATTTAGGAATAAAACGGGAAAGAACCCAAAGAAGGGCGGAGGTGGAGGCGGCTAATACACCCTGTAGAAAAAGGAATGTTAAGCCAGAAAAGGGGTGTGTGTGTGGTCAGTTCGCGAGGTTGAGTCAAAAGGGACTATGAGCAGGGGAGCCCGTAACTGGTAGTGACCCTCACACTTCTCTACCCTCCCGGGCCCCCACCTTCCACCTAAGGGTGAGTGTAACGGTGCGGGGGAAGAGTCTGGGGCAGAACGTACCTCGCACACCCGCGAGTGCGCGTGAACACGCGCGCACACACATGCACTCGCATACATATCTCCTGACGTGCTGATCTGCTTGGCCGGGGTGGGGGCGTGGGACTCCGAGGAGGCTCCGCAGAGGAGCAGCGGGCGCGGGAGAATCCCAGGAACCGGGTTCACCCTTCCGTCCTCCGCCCCCTGCCGCGTGCCCGCGCGCGGCCGGCCGCCCGCCGGGCCGGGTCACCCCCCTTTCACTTTCGCGTCTGCGTAGGTGTCTGCCCGGGCGGGCGCGAGGGCGCGGGGGCGCGCCAGGCGACGCGGGGGCGCGCGGCGCGCCGCGAGCGGAGGGGGAGGGGTCCCGGCACTCGCCCCCTTCCGCGGCTCGCCCCGCGGAGCCGCCTCCGCGGGCGTCTGAGCCGCCGTCAGAGCAAGGGGACCCGTGGCGACCGCCGCTCCCCAGCCCGCTGCCTGCACGCCTCCGCGCTCAGACACCCGCTCCCTCCTCGGCGCCCCCCCACGGCGGGGGTGGGGCAGCGGCTCGGCTAGCTGAAGAGGGGCGGGGAGAGGAGCAGCCTAGCGGGGTGGGCAGCCGGGGAGCAGGAAAAGAAACTTTTCCCTCCCGCCCCCCACGCGTGGTCCCCAGCCCTCGCCTCCCCCCGCAGGTGGGAACTGCACCTGAGGCCGGGCGCGAGGTCTGGGCTGGACTTTGCTGGGCTGCGGGGAGGGCTGAAGCGGGTGCGTGCATTTGGGGCTCAGTTTTTCCTTCCGCTCCCGGGCTGTCAGTGGCCGGGGTGGGAGGGCGGCTGCCGGCGTCCCTGCCCGTTTCCCGCTGGAGCCCCTGCCCGTTTCCCACCGGCGGGTGGCCGGACGCGGTGCCGCCTCCTCCTGCTTGTGAGGGTGTGACCCGGGGAGTGGGGCGCAGGCTCCTCCTGCCACTGCCCCCTCCTACACGCGCTCGGCCGCCGGAGCTGTCACCCGCCACCCCGGGCCCAGGGAGGGGGCGCGGAGAGCGGTGCTGCGGGGAGGCGGTGCGGGATCCTCCCGCCGGACTTCCCGGCTCCCAGGGACGCCGCCGTCAAAGCCAGGCGGACGCGCAACTCCGGGAGAGGGACCCGCCTGAGACCCGGCTGCCGCCGCTGGGGGCGGGCGGGTGCCCGCGTCCCCCCTCTGCGCGATTTGGCGCTGCTGCCTCGCCGCCTCTTGTAGGGTAACAGCACTATTGCTCTATTGCTCCATTGCTCTACGCACCGTCAGCAGGGCGACTCCCGGGATTATCATCCTCTCCATCCTCACCGCCCGTCAGCCAATATTGGACTTGCTGGTGGCGGCGGCAGCAGCGGCGGCGGGAGTCTCGCCGTCCCCCTTCCCCCGCCCCAGCCTCCCCACCATGTCCTAGAAAAGGTGAGTGCAGCGACAGTCACTTTGCGCTGACAGCGGCGAGAGGGGGCCCGGAGAGCGCAGGGGCGGCCCCGGGCAAGGCAGGTTGCGCGCGGAGGGCAGAGGGCGCGGGTTGGCGAGCCGAGGTGGGATGCCGGCAGGAGACGAGTTGCCCGCCGGCGGCCCTGGGGCAAGGGTGCTGGGTGGCGGGCGAGAGATCGCGGCGGCTGCCCCTGCATGGTTCTAACCTAGATTTTGCAAGAAGCTGAGATCCAGGGCAAGACTGGCCCTCCTCAAAGGAGGTAAAAACTTAGTAAAAGAGACACGTCCGTTCCTTTAAGAATGAATAATTCGGCAACGCTTGTGGAGCCGCCGCCGCCTCGCGTGCCCAGGCGCTAGGTCTGGGACTCCCCTTGCTCCCGCCCGCCGCCCGCGCTCGGCCAAGGTGCGATCGATGCCCGGCTCGCGGTACAGGGAGAGTGCGCGTGACGGCCGGCCCCTCGGGAAAGTTGGGACGCTCGGCGGGGACGCCTGGCTGCGGGGACGCCGGGGGCAGCTCCGCGCTAGGGACCGAGAGGCACTAGAGTCGGGGGTCCGGACCAGCTCGCGGCGCTGCCGCCGTCTCCCTTATCTCCAGGGAGTTCCTGACTGGAGCGGCTGAGAGTTCAAGTCTCCCTGGGTTAGGGGTCGGGAATCTCGAAGCTTAACTAACTGTAAGGAGAGGAGGGGCCTCCGGGCATAGGGTGTTCCCCTGCCCCCCGCCTCGGGCTTTGGCGAGCGCGGAGCGAGGGTGAGGCGGGAGGCCGCACAGCTGCTGCCGCCGGGCTGCGGGTCGCCGAGGGCCGGGGACCAGATTTAGGTGTATACGTCACTGATGCTGACTCCGGGCCAGCCGGGAGCCTAAAGCCGGGCCTTATACGCGGAGCTTAAAAGTCCTTAGAAATCAAAGTTAAGCCCATCCTTTTGCTTAGTAACTGCAGCATTTGGGTGGGCGGGAGGAGAACCAAGGAGGGGGCGGTTGGAGGGAAACCGAAATTTCTTCGTGCAGACACCCGCGATCCTTAGAAAACAGTTCGGTTCCTTCCCCCTCCTGTCTGTTTCTCCCACTTTTGTGACCCATCCCCTCCACCCATTATAATGTGAATATCCTCGATGGTAAGCTTGTTTTCAAATTGAACTAGTGGAAAAATCCAATACTAAAGTAGTAAGTACAGTGACAAAATTATAAGGAAGCGGAGGAGCAGGTCTTGACCATGTCACTGTTTTCATTTTTCTTTTCTTTTTTTTCGTTGTTTTTTTTTTTTTTTGGTGGTAGGGGACTGAGGGATGGGAGGAACGCTGCGTTTAAAGGGCTTTTCCTGAACGGTTAAAACAAGCAAATTCAAATCCAGAGAGAACGTGAGCCTCTTGCTCGCTGGCAGCGAAGTCTGCGGCTGCTGTGCCGAGAGGTAACAACTAGTGAGACACAGGAACGGGGCTGGGAGAGGAACCTCGGGGGTCGGGTGAAGTCCACCGAGTCCTCCCCGCGCGCGGACGCTGTTGGGCGGCGCCAGGGCAGCCGCTCACCTGGCGCTGCAGGTGGAGAGCGTGAGGGGACGACACTTTGCTCGCGGAGAAACCGACTTCTTCCGCGTCGCCACACTTTTCACGTCTCCCCAGATATCCTGGGGTCGGCCAGGAGGAGAGCAGGGTGGACGTGAGCAAGTTTGGGGCGGTCGATCGATGGGAGTGGGGGCAGCGCGCGGAGGCCGCCTGGTGTAGCCACCGCCCGGCGCCCCAAGCTCCCGCCGCTTCTGCGGCTTTAAGGAAGCTGCCGAGTCCAGGCTGTGTCGCAGCAACTTTGTAGCAGTCATGTCGCCCGCCTGGTGACTGACAGCCCGGATGGTCCAATAAGAAGCCCGCCTGACCCGTGCAGGGTGGAGCCTTGCTTCTCTTTAGGCCAATAGGAAGGGCACGGGGGGGCGGGATAGCAACCTGAACTTTATCTGGACATGTGACCCGCTTTTAAAAGGGCCAGCCTTCCAGCTGGCCCACTCCCCCTCCGGGCTTTTGCCCGCCCTCTCTCCCGCCCAGTTTTGCCCGCCCTGGCCCTGCCCCTGCCCCCTCCTCTCAGCCCCTCCGCGCCCGGGGTGTCATTGGGCCCGGTAGACCGGAGCCAACTTCAGGCTGCTCGGAGGAAGCCCGTGCAGTCAGTCACCTGGGTGCAAGAGCGTTGCTGCCTCGGGCTCTCCCGCTGCAGGGAGAGCGGCACTCGCTGGCCTGGATGTGGTTGGATTTAGGGGGGCTCCGCAGCAGGGGTTTCGTGGCGGTGGCAAGCGCTGCAACAGGTAGACGGCGAGAGACGGACCCCGGCCGAGGCAGGTGTGTAGGGGTGCGCGGCGGGGCACCGCTTGCCCTGCTCGGCTTGCGGCCGCGGCGCGGGAGCGTGCACTTTGCAGGGAGAAGTGGCTGCGTAATCCGGAGGCACAGTATGGTGCTGTGTGCTTGTTGTTTTGTTTTGGTTTTCCACTTTTCTCCCCCTTTGGCCGCCAGAGGACTATTTTGGGAAAGTTTGGCCACTTTGGATAAATGCCCTCTAACTAGCAGCTTTTAACTGCCTTTGGCAGTGGGAGGTCTACCACCCTTCGCTTTCCCCAGAGATGAATTTCGAATCGTTTTCCCTATACAGTTTTTAAAGGACGTTTGAATAATATTTCTTTCCTTTATCAATTGCGGAAGCTCCCAAATCTCAGCCGAGGTGTGTAGCGGCTAAGGGCAGCTGAAGGAGATACAGATCCTAGTAGATCCTATATGAAAGGGGCTCTGGAAATTCGTGCATTTCCCGTTCCCTAGCATTCGCGAAACTCTTGAAAGAGGCTACGCTTTCTATGGCATCAGTTGGAATTTTAAGGGCAAGGGAGAAGGGACGAAGCTGCTTTTTGGTGGCATCCTTACCTTGCTACTGAATTTTAGGTGCGTGGCTTTGCCTACTCAATTTAAAAAGACCAGGTTTAAGTGATAATGGTTTATAGCACCATCAGTTTTAATTATTTAGTATGGCACAGGAGTTAGGAAAACTTTTGATAGCAGACGAGCTTTTGAAACCGACGAATTTTAAAGGCACCAAATTGCTTAACATTTTGTATTGCCATTTCTCTAGGTGCTGTTATTGATGATATTTACATAGTAATTATAACAGCATTCTCCATCTGTGAAGTCCTGCTGTGAAGTTTTAATTTTATGTTTGACATCGTGGCAGCTATCATGGAAAAGCTTGAGAGGAGTTTTAAAAAATAAGTTAAAGTGGAGCTTTTTCCTTTAAAGGAGGCATAGTTTGGTTTGGCGATTTTTGGAAAGATCAGGTGGCTCGGTAAATTAGGTGAGTGAATAGAAATCAGGTGTGCTCAGTTCTAACTGGTTCTCCCGCTCTCTTAGTTGACCTTGGGCAGATTTCTATCATTTGCCTCATCTATAAAAGAGAGGAACATAATAGTTCTATAGTGGGGAATGACAAAAAATAGTTACCTATAGTGAACTTTTGCAACTATGCAGCCTAGAGATGATTGTGTGATTCTTAAGCCTTCGTCTTTAAAATACGGTAGTATAGCGAAATAAATATAAAAAATGATGACTTTTCTAACATGATGAGATTGAGTTTTGGGGGATGCTAAAAGTGAAAGTGTTTCCAGATAAAATACAAATTCGCAAGGATCTTTGTTAATATTCCTGAAAAAAAAAAGTACTTCCTTATGGAAAAGGGCAATTTAACACAGGCTGTAAAACATAGAACGTTAAGGTTTTCCTTTGCGAAAACAGCATTTCTTTTGTGTTTGAGAGCATATGTATGGCTTAAAGTAGCACCTCCATCAGTGCTTTTCCTTTTCCTTACGTGAATTTTTTTATGTTTCGGGGTGAGGCCTATTTGCATGAAAATTAAAGGTTCATAATTTTTTTTTTGCATTTGTCCTAAGAGAATCTTTGTTATGGTGTCCATTGAAAGACAGGCAAGTCTGATTTTTATGTCAGTTAGATTTGTGTACCTCTGTCTGCTTCATTTTATACTTTAGTAACAAAAACTTTTTCTTTATCCTCTAGATATTAAGATCTATGAGGATCAGATTCATCGACTAGTACTTTCAGTATTCACTATTAAGTACAGGTTGACTGAAATTCTGCTAACGCCATGGTCATTGTGCCAATTCCAAAAAAGACAACCTCAGTTTCCTGGATGATATAGGAAATAAATTCCTAACCTGATCCATTTGTTTACAGAAAAGACTAATTAAAGTGGTAGAGAGACTCCATATAAAATATTTCAATAATGCTATTTTTTAAAAAATCTGATCTTAAAAAATATTTGCATGGAAGCCATGCAGATGCTAGATGTCTTTTATTCTTTTGTGTTTGACTATAGCCAATGTGTATCGTTTCCTTTGTTGAGAGGTGCATTAGGTTGGTGGAGGAAAATACCTTAAACAAACTAATTTAGATTTCAGCAAAGCCTTTTGCAAATTCCTTAATGAGAGTCCTGTCAGTAATGTGGTGAAATACAGCCTATTTTATGTTATTAAGGGAGTTCAAGGTTAGCCAAACAGGACTTGGAAAGTTGTGATCAGCTGTATGATGTTAGCTGATAAAGCACTTCCTTGTCCAAGGCTTTAAGACTGTCTGTGGTGCCCATCATCTCTTCTATAGATTCTCTTCAAGTCTTCTGTAGCCTCACAAATGTGGGGTATGGTTCTTGCTTAGAAAGTGCCGAAAAGCGCAGATTCTTAGTAGACGTTCTTTGAAAAAAAGATGCAGTGGTAAAATTATTTGGGGAATGCTGGATTAAAAAGTAAACGTAATCTCCCAGAGATTTTGGTATGCAAATTTATATGGAGACAATTCAAAAAAGCCATGAGTGACCGTCCTTCCCAAAAGACAGTTTGGAGAATGAATTTTGGAGAAGGGTCTGGGTGGGGGGGGTCCCCCTTCGGACACAGGATAGAGAGCCCTCTTGTCTATAACCAGGAAGAGAATGAGGCTGTGTGAGTGAGGCAGACTGGGCCAGTGAAGGCCTCTGGGTAAGGTTGTTGAGACAAGAGTAACTTCCAGGCATCTGGGTAGACGGTGGTGCAGTTTGCCAAGAGAGCGAAAGTGAGTTTGGGGGTGTGTGGGGGTGAGATGTGCAGAAAAGTGTTCCGTTTTGAATATAAAAAGACGTATTTATTGTGTTGTTTAATGTATTTGTAGCTGAACTATTTATAGCTTAGCTATATAGTCATTCATCTTTAGTGTGAGGAGGACAGAATATTCTTAGGTAGAAATAGAAGCAGTACATAATATTTACTGCTATTTTTCAATGCATAGCTATGACTAAATGGTTTTTTAGTAAAGCATAAAAGGGCAGTCTTAGCTATTTGCATCTCCATTCACTGCTTTTCAGTTTAGTTTCTTTGTCAACTTTTACTTGGCTGTCATCCACACCAACCCTTTTGACTGGAATTACTATTAATAGATAACTACCTTAACCTTTTGTAATTTCATTTATTTTCTACTGTCTTTTGATTGATTTTTGATTAGGAATCTATAGGATATTCTTTAGGTGAAAACATACTATATAATTGGTAGATTTTAACGTTCGCAAATTGGGTATTGATGTTATAATAGTTGAAAATTTTTTGTGATGTGCTATCCACTTGGGATACAGTGGTGAAGTTGATCATTTCTGCCCTTTTAGAACTTAAACTCTAGTGTAAAACACAGAAAAGTAAGAGGTAATTATAATACTTGGACAGTTTGGACATTAAAGTTCTTCATAGGGCTTTGTGCTATCTAAGGCAAATTTATGAGGCCAGTTCAGATTTATCTAATGCAAACTCATTTAGTAGCATTATTTTTCAATATTAATGAATATAAGTTCTGTAACAAAAGGACTTCCTGTTCCCCCCGCCCCCCACCCAAGGGAAGGTAGGCAGGGTGGAGACATTGGCAAAGAGATGAGAGGCCTAAAATAAAGCTTGTATATAGAATGGCAGAAACAGCATCTTTAAATCAGAACTTTTATTGGGCCTTAGATTCAAAATGTTTGAAAAATGCATAATACAGATTTTAGGAGTTTTAAAATACTAAAATGTACAAATAAAATTTTACTGTGAGTGAGTTACTTTTCTTTAAGATACATTTCTTTAGAGTGGTGGTTGTCAGCCAGGGGTAAGTTTGACTCCCAGGGTTGTTTGGTAATATCTGGAGACATTCTCAGTTGTCACGACTGGGGAGGGGGAATGCTACTGGCATCTAGTGAGTAGGGGTTAGGGATGCTGCTAAATGTCTTAACAATGCACTGGGCAGACCTCCACAACTAAGAATTGAGAAACTGGTGTAGAGAGAGACCTGCGATCAAATTGCAGCTCCAACACTTAGCTGTGGGCACGGTGCCTCAGTTTTCCCAGTTGTGTTTTCTGGATAATACTTTTATCAGTCATTCAGGGTTGTGTGTAAGGATAAATGAGTTAATATATGCAAGGAGCTTATAATACTGCATTAAATTATATGGGTAAGAATTTCATCAATCTATAGCCAATTCTGTCTGTGAAGTAAATTAATCTATAGAGTGCATGGAATGTGGTTATATATCTGAAACAACCTCGTGAGTTCCCTGAGGATGGGGATTGTGCCTTTTTCGTGTATCCCTACCTATTCACTGACTGGTCTAAGGACCACGATGTAGCAAGTGCTTGGTAAATATTGTTGAATGAATGCTTAAATTTCCAGGACTCCTCTCAAACTTCCTCCATTTACCATTGAAAGTAAACATTTCTGGTGGTTGGGAGTTGTTCTAGCAGAGGTACCACTAGGTCAGGATGCATGTCAAAGTCCTTGCCAGTATTGAAATGCGGAGAAGACACCAGACAGCCCTGAGTTGTCATACAACCACTCTGAGCTATGGAACATCTTAATCAGAATGTATAGATCTTGACTTTTCAGAACTGACATTAAATTATTTTAATCACTAATCTATCTTAAGAAAGGTAGATTTTTTAAAAATTCACAAATTATTTTTCTCATGATAATTCACTTGGCATGTTTACATTTGGAAAGAGTAACTTTAATTACATTTTCATACTGTTTTCTAACAAGGCCATGTATTAAATATGGAGGGGGGCTTCTGTATGATCCAAAGATTCCAAAGGCATTGGAGTCAGAAGATTTAGATTTCGACCTAACTTTGTCACTATGTCTTTGACTTTGGGCAAGTAACCCACCTCACAAAGTCCTCAGTTTCTTTTTGCGTGCCTTAAAATTCCCAGGATTACTTTGAATATCTACTAAGTTAACATTTGTAAATACTATTTGCAGACTCTAAAGACTGTATTATAGCAAACATGTTACTTTTATTTAGATCCAAAACAGTTTTATATGATCACTTCTCTTATCTGACATCTGGACAAGTTATAGTCAGTATTCTGTTATGTCAGCATCCAAAAAGGTAACCGTTTTAAATGCTGCTTATAATAAGTAGAATATGTTTTGTGGCTTAGTAAATGCAATTTTAGAATGTCTTTTAGAGTAATATTGCTATAACTGACTCTAATTTTTTAATGTGAATTTATTTGTTAGCTATGGAGACCAAAGGCTACCACAGTCTCCCTGAAGGTCTAGATATGGAAAGACGGTGGGGTCAAGTTTCTCAGGCTGTGGAGCATTCTTCCCTGGGATCTACAGAGAGGACCGATGAGAATAACTACATGGAGATTGTCAACGTAAGCTGTGTTTCCGGTGCTATTCCAAACAACAGTACTCAAGGAAGCAGCAAAGAAAAACACGAACTACTCCCTTGCCTTCAGCAAGACAATAATCGGCCTGGGATTTTAACATCTGATATTAAAACTGAGCTGGAATCTAAGGAACTTTCAGCAACTGTAGCTGAGTCCATGGGTTTATATATGGATTCTGTAAGAGATGCTGACTACTATGAACAGCAGAACCAACAAAGAAGCATGAGTCCGGCTAAGATTTATCAAAATGTTGAACAGCTGGTGAAATTTTACAAAGAAAATGGCCATCGTCCTTCCACTCTAAGTTGTGTGAACAGGCCCTTGAGATCATTTATGTCTGACTCTGTGAGCTCCGTGAATGGTGGCGTCATGCGCGCCATTGTTAAAAGCCCTATCATGTGTCATGAGAAAAGCCCGTCTGTTTGCAGCCCTCTGAACATGACATCTTCGGTTTGCAGTCCTGCTGGAATCAACTCTGTGTCCTCCACCACAGCCAGCTTTGGCAGTTTTCCAGTGCACAGCCCCATCACCCAGGGAACTCCTCTGACATGCTCCCCTAATGTTGAAAACCGAGGGTCCAGGTCGCACAGCCCAGCACATGCTAGCAACGTGGGCTCTCCTCTCTCGAGTCCATTAAGTAGCATGAAATCCTCAATTTCCAGCCCTCCAAGTCACTGCAGTGTAAAATCTCCGGTCTCCAGTCCCAATAACGTCACTCTGAGATCCTCTGTTTCTAGCCCTGCAAATATCAACAACTCAAGGTGCTCCGTTTCCAGCCCTTCCAACACTAATAACAGATCCACGCTTTCCAGTCCGGCAGCCAGTACTGTGGGATCTATCTGTAGCCCTGTAAACAATGCCTTCAGCTACACTGCTTCTGGCACCTCTGCGGGATCCAGCACGTCGCGGGATGTGGTTCCCAGTCCAGACACACAGGAGAAAGGTGCTCAAGAAGTCCCTTTTCCTAAGACTGAGGAAGTAGAGAGCGCCATCTCAAATGGTGTGACTGGCCAGCTTAATATTGTCCAGTACATAAAACCAGAACCAGATGGAGCTTTTAGCAGCTCATGTCTAGGAGGAAATAGCAAAATAAATTCGGATTCTCCATTCTCAGTACCAATAAAGCAAGAATCAACCAAGCATTCATGTTCAGGCACCTCTTTTAAAGGGAATCCAACAGTAAACCCATTTCCATTTATGGATGGCTCATATTTTTCCTTTATGGATGATAAAGACTATTATTCCCTATCAGGAATTCTAGGACCACCTGTGCCTGGCTTTGATGGTAACTGTGAAGGCAGTGGATTCCCAGTGGGTATTAAACAAGAACCAGATGACGGGAGCTATTACCCAGAGGCCAGCATACCGTCATCAGCCATTGTTGGGGTGAATTCAGGTGGACAGTCCTTCCACTACAGGATTGGTGCTCAAGGTACAATATCTTTATCACGATCAGCTAGAGACCAATCTTTCCAACACCTGAGTTCCTTTCCTCCTGTCAATACTTTAGTGGAGTCATGGAAATCACACGGTGACCTGTCATCTAGAAGAAGTGATGGATATCCGGTCTTAGAATACATTCCAGAAAATGTATCAAGGTAAGTTGGCTCTTTCCTTGTTTTTGAAAGTCATGGCTATATAAATGTTGAAGGTTAGCATTATTTTTACAGTCGATAAATTGAACACTTCAGATTACTGTTTTAAGGATGGTCATATGATGCTCCCGTTTGCATGTTGATATAATGTTATTTTTTTGAAGTAAAGGGAAAAAACATTCTTAAAATCACTTAGAAAGTATCTGCGTTGATTTTGAAAGGGCATATGTGGGTGTCCCCCAATACCCATTGCCTGTTTTATGTGTTTGGAAAATTCATGTTTTACTGACAGTTACTATATTCACTGTAGCAGACTAGTACTGGATTTTTTTCCTTTAGCTGTTTGCTGGTTTACTGAAATTGCTTTAGATCAGTTTATTTGTCATCTTAGTCCTTTTTTATTATAGCTTTCTTTATTAATCATCACTTCATCGGTTGCAAAAAATAAAATTGAATCCTGTATCTGTTACCCACAAGCTTCGCTCCCTTCTGCCCTTTTCTAGATAGGTTAATTATATGAAAGTTGTGGTTTTTCAATACAAATAAATCATTTCCTTAACTGTTGAGGGCTTTTAAAGACTCAGCATATCTAAAATTACAAAGTGGACAATCTTGCTTTCTTATATTGGAAATGAAATATGTAACTGCAGTTTTGAATTGGTATATTTATAACTTTTCAGATCTGCAAGAAGACATATTTTATTTACTGTAAAATATCTCTTGGCTTTCCTTGTTGCAGATAGCAGGTTGTATATATTTAGAAAAAATGGGGAAGAGGTTTTAGATATGACTATAAAGGGTGGTTCTAAGTTATACAGTGAATACTTGGATTGGACTTTGCTTCAGTACTGTTTTTATTACTTGCTTGTGATAAATTATTCCTTTATGGACTATATAAAGAGTAGATTTCCTAGGTATAGTTCATTCCTTTGGCATCTAGAACTATGTGGATATTTTCCTTATGTCATTAAAAATTATTTTGTGGGAAATATGTCTATCCCATTAGCAGGATACAGGGTTTACGTGTATTGCTGTAGCTTTCTCCTATTCTGTTTTTTTCCCAAACCAAAAGCAAAAACTTTAATTTATGCATTCTTTTCATTGTCATTGGCTCAAACCTTGCTTTTCTTGCTTTTATGGAAGCAGACATTTCATAAAGGATACATTTTTATAGTTCCCCATAGTATGAACTATTCAATCATACTCTAATGCTGTCTCTTAAATTATAAGCTCTAACACGAGTCATGAGATAGCATGGCTGCCATCAGAATCAAACTCAGCGTGTGTTTTACTGCTAGTGCTTTGCTTTACTTTTAGAGAAGGAATTTTTTTCATGTGATGTGAATATTTTTGTAAGTGATGTTTTTAGTGAGCGGGTATGATATAGTATAGCCTGGTAGTTAACAGCGTGACTGGTTGAAATCCCAACTCTACTACTTAATTGTTTAGTTTTCTCAAGGTATAAAGGGATTAAACAGTAACCACCTCAAATGTAGTTAAAACAATTTAAATGAGTTACTTTATGAGAAATACTTTGAATTCCTTCCAGTATGTTAGTATGCATTATATATGTTTTAGCTATTATGAAATGGTTTTATAATTTTTAGTTTTCTTTTTTCTTATATGAAATTCCACAGAATCTTTTAAAGAAATATTTAAGCATTTGTTAAAGTAAATATTTGATAATTTCTTATGATCAAACTCATTTTTAAAAAATGATTATACACTATGCCTTTTTATTACAGTTCTATTTATGCTTTTTCAGTTTTAAAAACTTGCTTTGGGTAATGATATTTCTGGTAGAAATACTACAGATGCAGTAAGCTAAAATGATTGTCTCTTATGTTTGTTCTATATCCCTGTTTCTACTATTTTAAATATGGTTTTCATGCTCGTGAAGCCCCTCCTGATGGTCCAGTGACCCATGCATAGCCTTAGACATGTTAGTATGAATTAGTGACCTTGAGCCTATCCTGCCTTTGCGGGCACAGGAGGCAGTGTCTTGTGTCTCCTCTTGAGTATTACAAAATGCTTTATGTATTTGTTAATACAATCAACAGGGATTCATTCCGCTTATATACATACTGGTTTTGTGCCAGCTAAATTTCCTAAAAACTTTAACTTAAAGCTTTAATGTGATTTGACATCTCCTATAGATTAATGATTCTTTACAGCTTTTCTTGGTGAATAGTATCCAAACGTATTTGTTTTGATGATTATCAGAGTAAAAGCTCAAGGATCAGAGGAAATTTAGATGTTTTTCCATATTTCAGTGTGCACATTATATTTAACCTCATGCAAGTGTCATCCTTGGTCTCTTATTTTGGACAAAAAAAATCCAGGCTTTTTGCCTATTTCTTAAAATATGATCACTTGTTTCAGGGAATGTTGATAAATGCATGAAATATAAGGGATCAAGGCAGTGTGTAGTGCTTCTAAGTTTAATAGTATTCTTCATCATTAGGTTAGACCTTGAACTACAGTATTTTCTGGTAGATCTCAAATCATAGTTTGAGGGTTCCTGAGACCTTTTCAAGGAAGTTCATGAAGTCAGAAATGATGCATTGGTAAAATATCCACTCAAAATGGAACACAGATTAATGGATTTAGATATAATGGTGTACAAAAGTCCACTGATATTGTTTCAGATTCCACATTGAAACTAACTTTTAAGAAACTATTCGGTGTTAATTTTCAGTGTAGTATCAAAAATTCATATCTACAGTTATCTTAAACAGCCATTAAAATATCTTTCTCCTTTCCCAACAACATTATCTGTATGAGACCAAATTTTCTTTAAACGCTTGAAGAAAAACATAGCACCACACATAGATATGAAAATCTGGCAGTCTTCTATTAAGTGTGACAGTAGTCTTGCAAAAATGTTAAACAGTGCCAGTCTTCTCACTAATGTTTTTGTTTGGGGAAATACTGTTTTGTAAACAGTTTTCGTATTGTTTATGTTAATGCATAATGACTTATTTTTAAAAGATTTTAAAACATTTGTTTTAATTTTTAATTTAATTTAAACTAATTTAATATTAGTTTTAATTTCCAATATGGTATTAATAGCTATACCTCACATAAACAAACGCTCTTTGGGATCCTTCACAGTTTTTAAGAATTAAAAGGAGTTCTGAGATCCAGAAGCTGAGAACTGCTGGTCTGTTCTCTTCTGTACACCCTCTGGAGTTTAATGAAGAAAGAAGATACTATGTTATTTGTATTAGCGTTACTGAATATTACTCTGAGGCAGGAGTGTCCTATTCAAATAGGAAAAATGATTCTTGCCCAGATTAATTTTTTAAACGGACAGAAATGAGTAATGGCTGTGAGGCGTGTGTTGTCTTCATTTCAGTCTGTGGGCATTCTGTGAGAGTGGTGACGAAAGTCATCTGTTAATAATTTCCAGTGAATGAATTGTCTGAGTGCCAAATTGTAAAGTGAATTATGACAAAGCTAAATGTAAAGCCCTTAGAATGGACGCTGGACCTAGTTGTGTCAGGTAGATTAGAATTCCTCTGCTTAGACATCAGCAAAACCTCTCTGAGCCTCAGTTTCTTCATTTTAAAGTGATTAAGCTGAACCGATCACTTTGCTAATCACTAATGCTCTGCAAGAGCTGCCAATGTAACTTCCTTTGAAGAATCATAATAGAGTATCCTTTAACATACTTGCTAATCTGGTTTCAAGTATTTTGTAGTCACAAGTGTAGCTTCATGGTTTTCAGGGTAGTCTGGAGAGAAAAATATCATTTCCATTTACAATTTTAAAGTAAAAGTGAGGAGGGGTGGTCTATGATTTTACTTGAAAAGAGGAACTCTGTGTGTGTGTGTGTGTGTATGTGTGTGTGTTCGCGCGCGCGTGCACGCGCGTGTGTTTTAAACCAGATTTTTTTTTTAAAACAAACTCTGAAACTTACTATGAATTCCTTGTTCTTTTTATTTACACTATTCCTCATGGAAACAGGGCATTTCTGTTGACATAACACTGGCTGTTTATGGCGATAGTCATAGTCACTTTGATAGCATCATAACACAGTGCTAACATTGACTTAGACTTTTAAATGTAAAGTTTACTGTTTCAAAGGGCATATTCTGGTAGGTCTCAAGACAAGTAATTAGGTATTTATTTGAATATGTGCTGATTTTTTTTTCTGCAATAGAATAAAATAGTTTAATAAATAACCTATAGTTATTCTTTTATTTTTCAATTGCCCCTGAAGTTTCCTTGAAACTAACATTATATGATAAACTAAAAGCGTCAGAATTCAGGAAGTTTGTGACAAAGTTTGCCCTTTTACTAAACTTTCAGAATAAACACTTGAGATGTCAATATCTCTATGTAATACAGTGTATGCAAGAATGGTGTGGGGAGGGGTGTGTGTGTGAGAGAGAGAGAAAGTATTGATGCTTACTCTAATAAATAAATCCATTACAGCATTGCTTAGGTCATTTGGGAATGAAAACATGTAACTTTCTTTTACTTATTATTTGTCTCATAATATTCTGATTTTGAAATTGCTAATGTACCTAGAATTTCACCAGGAAAATATTTAAAATATTTTTATAAATTATTTTAAAATGAGTTGTTTCTCCTGATATTCATTTTTCATTCACTTATTATATTTGTGGAAGAGTGGTGATAATAAAAAAAAATTAGTGTTTTATAATACACAAATCACTATGTACAGTGTACTTTTGTAAGTTTCATTTTTAAACATCACAGGTATCTTAGGTTTACATGTCAGTATGTCTGCCTCTTACCATCTAAAATACTGGTTTATTATTTATGCCATACTTTAAAAATAATGCTGAGATAAAAGCCATGGTTTCACTTAAGATAACCTCAAATTATTCAACTTAATGCAGTTTTCATACCAGCAACATACTAGGGACTTAGACTTCTGAATGTGAAGTTCATACCATGAGGACATCACTTAATAGATTTGATATTCAATATTGCCTTTTGCAATATTGAAATTCTAGGTGTGTCTGACCTTT